ATCATGTGGATAATTTTATTTACGACTAAATTATTCATTAATTTTGCTAATAGTTAGATTGGGCAGACCTTCACAAAATGGTGTTTAATTCTTTTTTTTTTTTTAATTGCCTTGACAAAAGGGCACTTTGGGCATCAAGGGGGAAAGGGGCAGGTGCTCAAGCACCCATTGCACCCCCCTCTGCACGTGCCTATGTTTATTTCATGTTCGTTTATGTTAGCTACACTGCATTTGTTGTACTGAGATGCAGATCTTGATCTAATACACACCCCCATTCCTGCACTGTGGCTTTGGATGGAAGACCATTCTTAGAGCTGATGTGTGTAATTTTTTATTTTAAATTACTTTCTCCTGTTCCAGTTTACTGAGCAGAGAGAGACAGTTCAGTAGTTATTAGGGGTGTAACGGTTCTCGGTAAAAAATCTAACCGTATTGTTCTCCACCCACGGTTCGGCATGCACTTGCACCGCAATTCAATTCAAGTTTATTTGTATAGAGCTTTTCACGATACAAATCGTTGCAAAGCAGCTTAACAGAAAATTTCAGTTTCTATTTTAAAGTTTCTACATTATGTTTAGTAGTAGCTCATCCGTGGTGATTTATGTCAAGTTGATGTCCATATGGCAGAAATGTACCGTAAAATTCATGCAGTTAATATCATGTAATCAAACAGACGGTGAACACTATTAACTGCAATGATTACATGTTGCGATTAAACTTATAGCAAAGTTTGGTAGTTTTGTATGTTGTCTGAGGGTTGGCATCATCTCTTCTCAGGTGTTCGGTCATCTCAGGTCTTTGTAAGGGCTGGATCCAGACTGAGGCTTCTGTAATTCCTAGTCGCCAATCCCGTGGCAGAAGCAGAGAAGCAAATAGAGACATAATTAGCATAGCTGTTGTTCCAACCAAGCAAAAGAATGAAAATGTGCATTTGATCAGATATAACTGCAGTACTAGATTAGGAGATGCATTAGTTGACTGCTTGGTAAACGAGATGTGTCTTTTATCTAGATTTAAACAGAGAGAGTCTGAATCCCGAACGTTATCAGGAAGGCTATTCCAGAGTTTGGGGGCCAAATGTGAAAAAGCTCTTCCTCCTTTAGTGGACTTTGCTATCCTAGGAACTACCAAGAATCCAGAGTTTTGCGACCTTAGGGAGCGTGATGGATTGTAGCGTGGTAGAAGACTAGTTAGGTACGCAGGAGCTAACCCATTAAGGGCCTTAAAAGTAAGTAATAATATTTTGTAACTTATACGGAACTTAATAGGTTCAGCTTAAATCTGACAACGCATCTGTAATATAGTTTGTTATAAATAACAACACGTAAAACAGACAGAGTTCAGCTAATATATGTTTCGATGTATACACATTCTTGCTTCCCAATACATTACAACAACAGCGATGAACAAAAAAAAGTGGACAAACCAGAATCTCTGTTCAATGCGAGTGCCGTATGCTGGAATATGGCCAGTCATTTATGCCATCATTACCCAGGTGTTGATTAGTGCGTGTGCGCAGGTGAGAACTGAATGCACATGTTGCTATCTGTGTTTATACTAAACTCATTTAATCCTTGCCAGTTTAAATATTCAAGAGCCACAAGACATGAATGAGAACTCGCGCGCAGTGAGAAGATTTGTGTGTGCGCACTCATCTGAAGCACGCAAACCCGCGTCTCAGTACAAGCGCAAATGACAAATTACACAAATTACAATGACATTTTCTTTCAAGTCTTGTGCTTAATTAGACAAATTCACACAAAAATGATTTCAAAATGCCCGTCTTAGTGAGTATTCTCAGGCATAGTCGGTTGAACGTACATGATCTGTGAACAGTTTACAACAAAAACAAGGAAATCACTCACTTCTCTTAATTGAATAGCTTTTGTAATATTAATAAGGATTTATTTTTAATTTATACAGTCGATTATGCAATGTTATTTTACATTTGATTACTTTATTCAATTTCTGTACCTAAAAACTAATGTTAATGTTACCTACCTAAAAAACCTGAAAAGCACTGTTTATTTTATTTGTATCTTTGCTCTATTGTATTTATCTGTGCTGTTGCTTGCTTGTAGTTAGATTATTTGTTTTTATGTACTTTATTTTTATTTGAAAATATAGTTTTTTCCCCCATAAACATAGCACATACCGAACCGTACCGAAACCAAAACCGTGATACAAACCTAACCGTGAGTAATTTGAACCGTTACACTCCTAGTAGTTATACAGTATAAGTCATTTGTAGGTTGATTTCCCAGGGTGGAAAAAGTGTATCTTTAATCTGTTTAGCTGACAGTGGAAGACGTGTTTTGGAAACTCATTTTCAAATTTTGAATCTAATGATGCAGAAATTACACACTTCAGCTTTAGCTTTCACCATAGTTCCTCCTTGGTCATTTGCACCCCATTTGTTTTATTTTGTACATGTATAAATGTTTTATATACTGTTCAGACTTTTGGGGTCAGAAAGATTAATGTTTAATTAATGTTTTTGAAAGAACTCTCTTATGCTCACCCAGGCAGCATATATTTGAGTAAAAATTAAAACAGTAATATTGTGTTCTGTGTTAATATACAGTAGTCAACATTTGAAGTGGATCAAAAAATTTCATCAAAGTTGTCCTAAGACAAGAACTCATTTTGGTTTCAGGTTTTAGGACAACTTTGATCTTTTGATCCACTTCAAATGTTGACTAGTGTATTTCAAAATCTAATTTATTCCTGTGATGACAAAGCTGAATTTTTACCAGCCATTACAATCTTCATGCCACATGATTCTTCAGAAATCATTTAAATATGCTGATTTGCTCAAGAAACGTTATTATTATTATTATTACCAATTATTACCTTATTATTACCAATGTTGAAAACAGTTGTGCTGTCTAATATTTTTGTGGAAACTGTGATACTTACCTTTTTTCAGGATTTTATGATAATTAGAAAGTTCAGAAGAACAGCATTTATTTGAAATATAATTATAAATGTCTTTACTGTCACATTCAAACTAATTTTCAGTTTAATGCATTTAATGACCCCGAACGTTTGAAAGGTATTGTGTGTATATAAATTTTCTTTTTAATTTATTTTCATTAGAATGTTATGAATGTTTCACTCACTGCCTACCTGCAAAACATTTAATCCCTTAATGTAAAAATGTAGCATTCTATATAGTTGCTTGCATGTGACTTGTGATCTTTCTTTCTTTCTTTCTTTCTTCTTTCCTCCATCTGACTGTAGACACAGTTCAGCACATATCTGACAGCAGGCATATTGTGGTGCATCACAGAGGCCGTTACTTTAAAGTATGGATGTTTTATGATGGGCGGTTACTGTTGCCACGGGAGATAGAGCAGCAGATGGAGAGGATTCTGGCTGACACCTCAGAGCCGCAGCCTGGAGAGGAAACCCTCGCCGCCCTCACTGCAGGGGACAGGTATTCACAACACACCCAACAGCAGGAGTAGCTACCGTTTTCCTGTCATTCATTTGTCTGATCTCTTGTAACCACTGTAAAGTTTCAGTGGGATGTCAGTCTGTAATTAGGTTCTTTTTTATTTCTCCTTTACTATTATTTGTCACCATTTTTTACTGGACAGTCAAAACTATTTTAGACAGAGTAAAAGCTTGTCTGTATCTGTTTTTCTCAGAGTGCCTTGGGCGTGTGCCCGTAATGCCTACCTCAGACACGGCAAGAATAAGAAGTCTCTGGATACTGTGGAGAAAGCTGCTTTCTTTGTTACACTGGATGACACAGAGCAGCGCTATGATCCAGCAAATCCTGTGGAGTCCCTGGACCATTACGCTAAATCGCTGCTCCATGGGAAGTGTTATGACAGGTAAGGAAGAAACCATAACATGGGTTAAGAGACCACCTCCTTCCATGCCCCTTTGAAAGTGCTTTTGTGAGTCTCTAGGTACCAGTACTGTACCTCAGAGTAGCTTTTATACAGCATGTACATTTTTAATGGTCATTTTCCATTAGGTGGTTTGATAAGTCCATAAACTTAATTGTCTTCAAGAATGGAACGATTGGCCTTAATGCAGAACATAGCTGGGCCGATGCTCCTATTGTTGGCCACCTCTGGGAGGTACACATGCACACATACACTACCATTCAGAAGTTTGGGGTCAGTAAGATATTTTTCTTTTTTAAAAAAGGACTTCATTATATACATTTATGAAGCAATTGATTATATTGATTACATTAAATGTTCTTTTAAACTTTCCATTCATCAAACTGTCCTGAAAAAGCTGTTTTCATTTAATTTATAATAAGTAAAGAAAGTTACAAATCACCATATTAGAATAATTTCTCAAGGATCATGTGACACTGAGGACTGGAGTAATGGCTGATAAAAAATGCAGCTTTGCCAATACATGAATAAATTACATTTAAAAATGTATAAAATAGAAAACATTTAGTTTAAATTCTACTAATATTTCAAAATATGACTTTTTAATGTAATTTTGATTAGATAAAAGCAGGTGCGCATAAGAGACCCCCCCCCCCCACAAAATAAAAAGCTTACCAACCCCAAACTTCCGTTGTTTATATCAGTTGTATTTCACTTTTAATTCATGTGTATCATACATAAAATGTTAATCTGCTGCTAATGTAAATTTGATGGCATTTTTCATAAAGCAAGTGCTCTCGATGGACCCTGTTAAGCTGGGCTACACAGCAGATGGCCACTGTAGAGGAGAACCTCACCCTAATCTTCCTGGACCGCAAAGACTCCAGTGGAATATTCCACCTGAGGTCAGTGTGATACACTTAGTAGTAAAAATGCTGATAATAGCTTTCTCATCTTGCTCGAGTGGATATGAAAGGACCAAGACATTGGTGTGTTTGACGTTCTCTCTGTTGTGTTTTTTATTTCATTGCAGTGCCAGACTATGATTGCCAACTCTCTGTCTGTGGCTGTGGCTTTGGCTAATGATGTGGACTCTCACATCATCCCCTTCAGTGACTTTGGGAAAGGCTTGATCAAGAAGTGCAAGATCAGTCCTGATGCCTTCATCCAGCTTGCACTGCAGCTGGCTCATTATAGGGTGAACGTTCTTATCACTGAACATCTGAAATGTAGCAAAATATGCCTGCTTATCGTGAACTTGAAAAGGTGAAATGATGTAAATGTTTTTTCATTATACAGGACAAAGGAAAGTTCTGCTTGACTTATGAGGCATCCATGACCCGTTTATACAGAGAAGGCCGTACAGAAACTGTGCGCTCCTGCACCATGGAATCCTGTGCTTTTGTCCGTGCCATGATCAGCAACAAAACGGTACCATACCAAAACAACCCTTAAAGGGATAGTTCACCCAAAAATGAAAATTTGATGTTTATCTGCTTACCCCCAGGGCATCCAAGATGTAGGGGAGTTTGTTTCTTCAGTAGAACACATATGATGATTTTTAACTCCAACCGTTGCAGTCTATCAGTCGTATAATGCATGGCAATGGTAACAAAATCTATGAGAGTAACAAAAACATGCACAGACAAATCCAAATTAAACCCTGCGGTTCGTCACGACACATTGATGTCCTAAGACACGAAACAATCGGTTTGTGCCAGAAACCGAACAGTATTTATATATTTTTTTACCTCTAATACACCACTATGTCCAACTGTCTTTGGGCGCGTGCACGGCATCCGGTGCGTGAGGTGTGTACGCGTTCTGGCGTTTTAGTGAGTAAAAAACTGTCATTTTTTACTCACCCTCTTGTTGTTCCAAATTCGTAAGACCTTCGTTCATCTTCGGAACACAATTTAAGATATTTTTGATGAAATCTGAGGGCTCTCTGACCCTCCCATAGACAGCAAGGTAACTACCACGTTCAAGGTCCAGAAAAGTACCAAGATGATCGACAAAGTAGTCCGTGTGACATCATTAGTTCAGCTGTAAAGTTACAAAGCTATGAGAATACTTTTTTGTGCAAAGAAAACAAAAATAACGACTTTATTCCACATTTTCATCTCTACTGCGTCACATTGGACGCGCGTTCACTACAGTATCATGACGCGAACGTGTGGCGGTGCTTCTTTTTTCTTTGTGCAAAAAAGTGTTCTCGTAGCTTCGTAAATTTACAGTTGAAATGTAAAAGTAATTAATAACAGAATTCTCATTTTTGGGTGAACTAACCGTTTAAACCTACCCAAACCTCCAAACCTGTCCCTAACCTTACCCGTATCTCATCTCAATAGCAGCAAAAGTGTTGTACATTAAAAGAAAGTTGAATCATTGTATAACATCTGTAGATTTTCAAGAAGTGCACGGCATCCGGTGCGTGAGGTGTGTACGCGTTCTGGCATTTTAGTGAGTAAAAAACTGTCACCCTCTTGTTGTTCCAAATTCGTAAGACCTTCGTTCATCTTCGGAACACAATTTAAGATATTTTTGATGAAATCTGAGGGCTCTCTGACCCTCCCATAGACAGCAAGGTAACTACCACGTTCAAGGTCCAGAAAAGTACCAAGATGATCGACAAAGTAGTCCGTGTGACATCATTAGTTCAGCTGTAAAGTTACAAAGCTATGAGAATACTTTTTTGTGCAAAGAAAACAAAAATAACGACTTTATTCCACATTTTCATCTCTACTGCGTCACATTGGACGCGCGTTCACTACAGTATCATGACGCGAACGTGTGGCGGTGCTTCTTTTTTCTTTGTGCAAAAAAGTGTTCTCGTAGCTTCGTAAATTTACAGTTGAAATGTAAAAGTAATTAATAACAGAATTCTCATTTTTGGGTGAACTAACCGTTTAAACCTACCCAAACCTCCAAACCTGTCCCTAACCTTACCCGTATCTCATCTCAATAGCAGCAAAAGTGTTGTACATTAAAAGAAAGTTGAATCATTGTATAACATCTGTAGATTTTCAAGAAGTTTGTGATCATATAAATTGAATGACATTTGCAAGCATGTGAAATAATGATCTGTTAATCATTAGGAAATGTTTAGCAAGTTTAACACATTATCTCACATTTCTAGCTATTTGACTATATATTAACTAATGATCTTATAATGCATTATATAATGTTTGTTAATGATATAATAATGAAAGTTATTATAAAGTGTTACCGACTGGTCAGAAACACCTCATTCGAGTTCAAGTTTAGGCTGTGTCCGAATGCTCCTGAAAATATGGTCTTGGACTCGGACTTAAGAATAAATTCATCAGAAAATTGAGACCAGGTTTTGTCCGGTCTCGGGTATTAGGATTAGTTACGATACCAACACAAATAACACAATAGCTGTATATTTAATTTGCCGTTCCTTTTATTGCTGTAGCCAGTGTTGGGGGTAATGCATTACAAGTAACATGACTTACGTAATCAGATTACTTTTTTGATGTAACTAGTAAAGTAACATAAGTAAGTAGTAAAGTCTGACTTTTTTAAATAAGTAACACAAGTTACAAGTTACTTTGTTTTTCCATTTATTCAGTGACACCTCTCCTGTCCCAATGTTGAGAGAAATTAGGACTGAGGTGTAGAGGCACTTCCTTCAGCCTGAGTCTTATTCATTTCACTTTTGGGTTTTTTCTTATTAAATAAACAAGTAAGCAAGCTCAGCTCAGATGACAAAGAGTAACGCAAAAGTAACGTAATGTATTACATTCTATAAAGAGTAACAAATTAATGCAATAAGTTACTTTTTTATGGAGTAACACAATATTTGTAATGCATTACTTTTAAAAGTAACTTTCCCCAACACTGTCTGTAGCTACTGCTTTTCATAATTTGACAAATGTGACCCTGGAGCACAAAACCAGTCTTAAGTCGCTGGGGTATATTTGTAGCAATAGCCAAAAAAATAATTGTATGGGTCAAGATTATTGATTTTTCTTTTATGCCAAAAATCATTAGGACATTAATCATGTTCCATGAAGATATTTTGTAAATTTCCTACTGTAAATATATCAAAACTTAATTTTTGATTAGTAATATGCATTGCTAAGAACTTCATTTGGACTTTAAAGGTGATTTTATCAATATTTTGATTGTTTTGCACCCTCAGATTCCAGATTTTCAAATAGTTGTATCTCGGCCAAATATTGTCCCATCATAACAAACCATACATCAATGGAAAGCTTATTTATTCAGCTTTCAGATTATGTATAAATCTCAATTTCGAAAAAAATGTAGCCTTATGACTGGTTTTGTGGTCCAGGGTCACAAATGCAGTTTACCGGTCACTGTTTTACTGCTGCCATTTTTCAAAATGAGTCTTCTGTTCTTGTTTTGTAGAGAGAAGAGAAACTTTGTTTACTAACCCAGGCCGCTGAGATACACCAGCAGATGTATAGACTGGCAATGACTGGTCAGGGCACTGACCGCCATCTATTTTGCCTCTATGTAGTGTCTAAGTACCTTGGACAGGACTCCCCATTCCTCCAGGAGGTGGGTTTTATCATATCCCATGAGAATTAACTGTGTCCTGATTATAGTTATTATAATGACAAATTAATGATAAAAGACATTTCCACCTTTGAAGACATGAGTGCATGTGCCTTGCTTAGGAGTAATGTACCTTATATTCTTTAACAAAATTAATTTGAATGCAAAATGTCCCACTTCCTGTCTCTTCAGGTGCTGTCAGAGCCTTGGAGACTCTCCACTAGCCAGACTCCTTTGCAGCAGGGGGAGTTGTTTGATCTGGTGAATCACCCAGAGTATGTAACCACTGGAGGAGGTTTTGGACCGGTGAGTCTTCCAAAGATTTCATAATCTGGTAATATTAAAATGCTTTGGTGAAAGGATCGAATGTAATTTTTTCTTCTTCTTCTAACTGTGGTAGGTTGCAGATGATGGTTATGGTGTGGCCTATGTGATTGTGATTCAGCATTGAATGGTCACCACGTTTTAATGTGGGATGTGTTAACGCTTATCAGAGGATTAATCACATGAATTGTACATTTATTTTTATTTGGATTATTTTAATTTCCTTCCATCATATTTTATGTTCCGTTTTAGTGTTATATACTGTAATAAGTTTGGAAATCATTGTAAAAAAATTATTCAAGTTCTGGGGAAAAAAATCTCATGTATTTATTGTGTACTCATACTAATGTGTTATTGAGTAATTAATGAGTGTCCTCTCAAAGTACATGTACTTGTATTTGGAAATTCAGAAGAAGCATTAAACATACTATACACATTAATAATGTGAATAATGGAAGCTGTTTTTTCCTCAGTTATTCATGTCTGGTCTATAATAAAATAGTATGGACAGTTTTCAAAGATACATTTCTGATAAGATTATTCTCATAAATATAACGTAGACGCTTCACTGAGACGCTGGGACATAATTTACTTAATTTACTTTAACAATTTACTTTTGACATTATTATTTTATTGTAATTTCATTGCATTTTATATTTTCCATTGATATATTCAAAGTTGGATGCATCACTGTGGTGTTTTTAGTCCAGTCATTAAAGCCATGAGCTGCATAAATTGAATTGTGTTCCTGTGTAAACAGTCTGACGTCATCCTAAAACTGAGAGAAACCTTTCCTCTAAAAATGTTTCCTCTTAAAAAAATTCAGCGGAACTTTGCAACAGTGTCTCTGTAACGAATGCGGTGTATTAAAACTACTAATTTAATTGTTTGTTCCCACTTTATATTAGGTGCCTTTTTAACTACAACCTACAACATGAATAAGTACAATGTACTTAATGTGTTTATGCTTTTGCTGCTATTGAGATGTAATACGGGTGAGGTTAAGGACAGGTTTGGGTAGATTTAAGGTGTAGGCTCAACAGTGTAATTATAGATGTACTGTAATTATAGAAATTAATTACAGACGTATGTACATGCAGTATTTCTTAAATATAAGTACAATTAAAACTTGTATATACTAGAAGTAGATTGTATCAAATGACAAATTTAAATGTTAGTACATAGTAGTTAAAGACATAATATAAAGTAGGGCCAAGTACTCAATTTTCAAAGTGCAAAAAACAGCATAGCTTTACAGTACAAAACTGTGCTTGTAAAATTGCACCAATCATCTCAATGACATCAAGAATGCATTCTGTTAAAAAAAAAGGTTATTTTTCAAATACTTCACTGTAACCTTCTACTCCAATTTCTGTGATTTGCTTTGAGCACTTGAATATACAGTGGGTACGGAAAGTATTCAGACCCCCTTAAATTAGAGAAACGTGGTTAAGCCTTTACCTTTCCTCTAAAAATGTTTCCTCTTAAAAAAATTCAGCGGAACTTTGCAACAGTGTCTCTGTAACGAATGCGGTGTATTAAAACTACTCATTTAATTGTTTGTTCCCACTTTATATTAGGTGCCTTTTTAACTACAACCTACAACATGAATAAGTACAATGTACTTAATGTGTTTATGCTTTTGCTGCTATTGAGATGTAATACGGGTGAGGTTAAGGACAGGTTTGGGTAGATTTAAGGTGTAGGCTCAACAGTGTAATTATAGATGTACTGTAATTACAGAAATTAATTACAGACGTATGTACATGCAGTATTTCTTAAATATAAGTACAATTAAAACTTGTATATACTAGAAGTAGATTGTATCAAATGACAAATTTAAATGTTAGTACATAGTAGTTAAAGACATAATATAAAGTGGGGCCAAGTACTCAATTTTCAAAGTGCAAAAAACAGCATAGCTTTACAGTATTTTACAGTACAAAACTGTACTTGTAAAATTGCACCAATCATCTCAATGACATCAAGAATGCATTCTGTTTTTAGAAAAAAAGGTTATTTTTCAAATACTTCACTGTAACCTTCTACTCCAATTTCTGTGATTTGCTTTGAGCACTTGAATATATGTCAATTTCAATCTAAATCTTAGTGCACATGAAAGGTTTAGTATGCATATCTTCACATGCACCAGCATTTATCTGGGCCTGTGTTGCATTTTAATGTCATTGTTCTCAGTAATAAGAGGAATGTTTGGATAGTGTTTCAGATATTTTTCTTAACTCTAAAGCAGCAGTTGATAATTATGTTCTTATTTTTGCTTTCTTTCGAGAGAATAAGCAGAAAGATCTGCACTCCTTTTTATTTTTTACATTTTTCATTAAGCAACATGGCACATGCAAAGCAGGCGTTTCGGCTAAATAGCTGAAATGTCTCTTTACAGGTGTTGTGTTGTATAATGAAAAGTTTAAAAATGAGAAAAAGAATTCTGATCTTCCAGCTTTTCCTTAATACAAATACGTTTTTATGGATCTACACACCCTCAGCCACTAGAGCGCAGTGATTTCATTATTTTTATTGATTTCTTTTTAATCAAAGGGGCCATGTATGTGTGTGAAGATTGTAAAAAAAAAAAGAAGAAAAAAAGAAATTGCTAAGAAAACTTAAAAATAAAATGCAGCCTGCTGCATTAAAATGTGTAGGTCGTCTCAACTATTGTATTAAAAATAGCCTGAAATTACATTGCATTGTTCTGTCAATTTTAATTTTTTTTTTAATTTATTGACTAAATGCAAAAAATGCCTGACTCATAATAGATTTATTTGGGCACACATCTTGCAGAAAAACAGATTCTTATGAACTAGCCATTGCAGCTGTGGTCTGCTCTAGTACTTTTCAGGCATTTCAGATCATTATATCAGACAAAACGATACGAGTTATCACTATAAATTTAAATATCATTAAAAAAAGAAGAAATAATATCACATCATATGATGCCTTATAGGTGACCAGGGACTGCCAAATACTTCAAGTGAATTTGCCTGCTTCAAAGAATTACCCCTTGCAGAAGAAGAAGTCTCATATGCAAAAACACATAAAACCAAGGCACTGGCACTATATATATTACTTCTTTTTTTTTTTTAAAGAACAATCACCAGGGCCGTAACTGAGGTATGCATGCAGGGCCCCAGTGCAAATTATAATACAAATTAAACAATGCTTTTCACAACAATTTTTCAGGTTTGTCTGTGTTCTGGTACATAAATTGAATAATTAAATATAAATAACATTGCATAGTATTCACTGTATAAATTAAATGTAGAATAATAACTGCTAAAGCTACAAAAGTTATTCAGTCAAGAGCAGTGAGTGATTTTCTCTCTCTTTTTTTTTCTTGGATTAACATTAATGAACCCACAGCAGCTAATAAATTAGGAGCTGTCACTCTAACACAAAATGCATGGATCCGATATAATGAATCATCTTTATCAACTGTTTATATTCACTTATGACATAACTGAGAGTTTTCGAGGATACTCACCCAAGCGGGTATTTTGACATAAATAGTTTGCGCTGTGAACACACATTCTTGCGCTTGAATGGTTTAATTGGCACTTAAATGTTCAAATTTGTAAGATGTATTTTTCCATTCAAGAGCAAGATGTCGCAAAAGAGAACTCAATTGTGGGCTCGCGTGTTGTCAGTGTACTGAATTGAGTTGTTTTGTGTCTTTTTGCGCGTGAAACTTTAATTGGCAAGGCTTAAAACATGTGCAAATGATACACTTTCGTGACGAGGTGCGGCAGTGACCCGATTGGCAGTCCGTAATCTGTCACGACAAGGTCCTCTTATACCGAGGTATCATATGACCTTTGAAGAGCAGGTCCTCTTTCAAAATGGTTCTAGGACAGGAGACAATTTAGAGGCAAAGTTACAAGGGAACTTTATCGCCTCTTCACAATGGCAGCCATTTTGCCACATTGTGTATTTCCCTATAATGAATTTTATTTTCTCAGAGCGCATTTAACTTTATTTAAATATTTAGTTTCCCATTATGTAATCAAATTTCACATTTATTACATGGGACATTTTATCAGTGACAAGCAACATATGTGCCTATACACACTGTCTAAAACTGCAAATACCGCAACGTATGATAAAGTGTAAGGCTTTTCCACTGTCATTTTTATAAGTTTAGGAGGTGCAACATTAACATGCATTGGTTCAGCTACTTCTGTGAGCACAGAATGTCCATGCAAAGTAGAGCAATGATTTTATTGCACAGGTAAACATTGCTGTTCTAATAATAAGCTAGTGTGTGTAAGAGGGTGTTTGGTGTAAGGATTAGAGTGACTGAGTTACATGGTGAATGTAAATAGAGGCCTGAGCAGTTTCTTGATGGCAGAGAGTGCCAAACATCAAAAACAGTATGTCTCAAATGCCCATGGGTCACTGTATTCAGTGTATCAGATTACCATACTGTAGTTGTAAAAAAAAACAGAGGCGGACAGTAACTAAGTACATTCACTTGAGTATTGTACTTAAGTACACGTTTTGGGTGTTAAATAATTATTTGTATTTTTTTTTTGTTTTGTTTAGTTTTTTCCCATAGGGTTTTTAACATTCTAAAAGCTCTTTATTCCAAAGATACTACAAGC